AGACATAACAATACACTTTACACAACGCAGACATACTAATCCTTAAAACTAAGCAGTTAATCATGTTCCTTAAGTGAAACTGAACATAGAAGTAACAGGAGATTGTTTTTTGGACAAGTAATAGAGAACTCACACAGGCTCATGTAACATCACACTTTACACAAAGCAGACATATCAATACACTTTACACAAAGCAGACATACTAATACTTAAAACTAAGCAGTTAATCATGTTCCTTAAGTGAAACTGAACATAGAAGTAACAGGAGATTGTTTTTTTGGACAAGTAATAGAGAACTCACACAGGCTCATGTAACATCACACTTTACACAAAGCAGACATAACAATACACTTTACACAAAGCAGACATACTAATACTTAAACTAAGCAGTTAATCATGTTCCTTAAGTGAAACTGAACATAGAAGTAACAGAGATTGTTTGGACAGGTAATAGAGAACTCACACAGGCTCATGTAACACCACACTTTACACAAAGCAGACATAACAATACACTTTACACAAAGCAGACATACTAATACTTAAAACTAAGCAGTTAATCATGTTCCTTAAGTGAAACTGAACATAGAAGGAACAGGAGATTGTTTTTTGGACAGGTAATAGAGAACTCACACAGGCTCATGTAACATCACACTTTACACAAAGCAGACATAACAATACACTTTACACAAAGCAGACATACTAATACTTAAAACTAAGCAGTTAATCATGTTCCTTATGAAACTGAACATAGAAGTAACAGGAGATTGTTTTTGGACAAGTAATAGAGAACTCACACAGGCCTTGTAACATCACACTTTACACAGAGCAGACATAACAATACACTTTACACAAAGCAGACATACTAATACTTAAAACTAAGCAGTTAATCATGTTCCTTAAGTGAAACTGAACATAGAAGTAACAGGAGATTGTTTTTTGGACAGGTAATAGAGAACCCACACAGGCTCATGTAACATCACACTTTACACAAAGCAGACATAACAATACACTTTACACAAAGCAGACATACTAATACTTAAAACTAAGCAGTTAATCATGTTCCTTAAGTGAAACTGAACATAGAAGCAACAGGAGATTGTTCTTTGGACAGGTAATAGAGAACTCACACAGGCTCATGTAACATCACACTTTACACAAAGCAGACATAACAATACACTTTACACAAAGCAGACATAATAATACTTAAACTAAGCAGTTAATCATGTTCCTTAAGTGAAACTGAACATAGAAGTAACAGGAGATTGTTTTTTGGACAAGTAATAGAGAACTCACACAGGCTCATGTAACATCACACTTTACACAAAGCAGACATAACAATACACTTTACACAAAGTAGACATAATAATACTTAAAACTAAGCAGTTAATCATGTTCCTTAAGTGAAACTGAACATAGAAGTAACAGGAGATTGTTTTTTGGACAAGCAATAGAGAACTCACACAGGCTCATGTAACATCACACTTTACACAAAGCAGACATAACAATACACTCTACACAGACATACCATCACTTAAAACTAAGCAGTTAATCTACCCTAAGGAACTGAACATAGAAGTAACAGGAGATTGTTTTTGACAAGTAATAGAGAACTCACACAGGCTCATGTAACATCACACTTTTACACAGCAGACATAACAATACACTTTACACAAAGCAGACATACTAATACTTAAAACTAAGCAGTTAATCATGTTCCTTAAGTGAAACTGAACATAGAAGTAACAGGAGATTGTTTTTTGGACAAGTAATAGAGAACTCACACAGGCTCATGCAACATCACACTTTACACAAAGCAGACTTAACAATACACTTTACACAAAGCAGACATAATAATACTTAAAACTAAGAAGTTAATCATGTTCCTTAAGTGAAACTGAACATAGAAGTAACAGGAGATTGTTTTTTTGACAAGTAATAGAGAACTCACACAGGCTCATGTAACATCACACTTTACACAAAGCAGACATAACAATACACTTTACACAAAGCAGACATACTAATACTTAAACTAAGCAGTTAATCATGTTCCTTAAGTGAAACTGAACATAGAAGTAACAGGAGATTGTTTTTTGGACAAGTAATGGAGAACTCACACAGGCTCATGTAACATCACACTTACACAAAGCAGACATAACAATACACTTTACACAAAGCAGACATAATAATACTTAAAACTAAGCAGTTAATCATGTTCCTTAAGTGAAACTGAACATAGAAGTAACAGGAGATTGTTTTTGGACAAGTAATAGAGAACTCACACAGGCTCATGTAACATCACACTTTACACAAAGCAGACATAACAATACACCTTACACAAAGCAGACATAATAATACTTAAAACTAAGCAGTTAATCATGTTCCTTAAGTGAAACTGAACATAGAAGTAACAGGAGATTGTTTTTTGGACAAGTAATAGAGAACTCACACAGGCTCATGTAACATCACACTTTACACAAAGCAGACATAACAATACTTAAAACTAAGCAGATAATCATGTTCCGTGAATGAAACTGAACATAGAAGTAACAGGAGATTCTTTTTGGACAAGTAATAGAGAATTCACACAGGCTCATGTAACATCACACTTTACACAAAGCAGACATAACAATACACTTTACACAAAGCAGACATAACAATACTTAAAACCAAGCAGATAATCATGTCCCTTGAATGAAACTGATCATAGAAGTAACAGGAGATTGTTTTTGGACAAGTAATAGAGAACTCACATAGGCTCATGTAACATCACACTTTACACAAAGCAGACATAACAATACACTTTACACAAAGCAGACATAATAATACTTAAAAATAAGCAGTTAATCATGTTCCATAAGTGAAACTGAACATAGAAGTAACAGGAGATTGTTTTTTGGACAAGTAATAGAGAACTCACACAGGCTCATGTAACATCACACTTTACACAAAGCAGACATAACAATACACTTTACACAAAGCAGACATACTAATACTTAAAAATAAGAAGTTAATCAT